TTTTACTATTATTGTATTTTTGTATAAATTAATAAAATGTACTGACAGTACCACATCGTTAAAACATAAAAAAAAATGATTTTGACTATTTCGGATATCTGAAATGATCTATTTTAACTTCATGTATATACGTAATATAATCCTAATTCAAATAAAATGGACTGTTGCATAACACGCATACTTTCTACTCAATCTGACTTTGCATTACAAAGGATGCACATACAGGAGGTAAGTTGCAATTAGTATGATATTTACTATTCAAATATAACAAATATAATTAAAAATACTTATCTTTTTAGATTATTGAGGCAGCAGGACATATTTGTATGTTCTACCCAAAGTTCCACTATAAACTTAATTACATCAAGTCCTTTTAGACAGAAGCGAAGCGGTATTCGCATCTTCACTATCTTCATTGTGATTATTCGTTTAATAATCTTAAGAAGGTTGTATTGTGTGCATTAGATTCCATTAGCCTAACAAAAATTCACCAGTTTTCACGTTGTTCTGAACATTATATGAGTGCTAACGAGCTTAGACTTTCAGGTAAGGCAGCTGTTTTGTGGTTAAATAGTATCGATCTCATCATAGGGTTTCTGAAACCGTTGTAGAAGAATTTGGTAATATGTAAAATTTTTTTTGTTCTCTAATCAAATACAGTCATGTGAATAATACGTACTAATCATATTATTTTCACGTGATATCAGTCACGCTGAAATCCTTTTATTGCTATTAAAATTAGCGTTAAAAAAATCCTAATTAAAAAAATTTTTATAATAAAGTGGACAAAACAAATACGTAGTTTTCTAGACCATATTAAAGACTATTAAATAACGTATTTTTTTAATGATTATATGTCTAAATAAAATTCCTTTACATTTTAAAATCGATAAAAATCATTGGATGCGATTAAGCCATTTACACCATAGTATTTTTGAAGATTGAACATTATGTATGTTACTTTGTCAGATTTAAAATAGTATACAAATATGTGTATCAAACTTAATGCATTTGTAAGTAATCCTTCATTACTTCTTTAAATTTTAATTTATTCTAATTTAATAATCAAATCACTTTTTTAATGCAAACCTATTTATTCAGTTCTTGAATTTATTTTATTACTGAAAATAAATCCAGAAATTAATTTTAAAAAATTTGATAAAATATTCTTACTATTACCTGAAATATTATTTGAATTCTATTAAGAAAATTTTATTAAACAAATAATATACTAAAAGTACAATAAAATGAATTTATCAAATGATAAAATAAAGTTACATTTGAATTGTTAGAAATGTTTTTCTTCTATTATCATAGTTATCAGTTATCTTATTATTAGATGGATTATTTAAGCTATTTTTAACTTGAAGTAAAGTATCATTAGAAGGCTATTAAAAGAATAAAAGATATTTATTTGTTAATAATAGAAGTAATATAAAAAGTAAAAAATATCACATGATATAATGAAGTAGAATGTATATTTTGAATAATAAGTATAATATTTTCTTAGTTATCATAAGATATTTTTTTGTAAATATAAAAGAAATAAAATAACAAATTCTGTATAAATATGAGAAGAATAAAAGATTTGTTTATAATGATCAATAAAGACAATAATTAATAATTATTTAATTATGATGTAAATTATAAAATTATAATAAATAACATAATTTGTATTTATAAATTTTGTATAAATTCAGTAATTTTCAAAATATAATATTAAAGTTTTTTTAAAAAAATAAATAAATATATTATAATAATTGATTCTAATGAAAGTAAATATTCATTTTAATAACTATTTTAAAATTATATTAACAAATTATATTAATCTGATAGTTAAGTTTTTATTAATTTTATTATTATTTTTAATTACTAATTATTAACAAATGTATAAAATAAAGATGTGTCTTTTTTAGAAAATTTGAATTTTGAGATATTTGAGATTAAACTATTTGTTTATAATAAATAATTTTACCTAAACTTCTAATAGATTTTTCTAAATTCAATTAAGTTTAACTATTTGTTTATAATAAATACTTTTACCTAAACTTCTAATAAATTTTTCTAAATTCAATTAAGTTTAACTATTTGTTTATAATAAATAATTTTACTTAAACTTCTAATAGATTTTTCTAAATTCAATTAAGTTTAACTATTTGTTTATAATAAATAATTTTACCTAAACTTCTAATAGATTTTACTAAATTCAATTAAGTTTAACTATTTGTTTATAATAAATAATTTTACCTAAACTTCTAATAGATTTTTCTAAATTCAATTAAGTTTAATTAAGTTTTAGATTTAAAAAAAATTATTTTAAAAAGATTCAAAAAAGTTTTTTAGATTTTAAACTACATGTTAAAATAGGTTTCAAACAGTATTATTAATATAAAATAACAATATATATTTATTTATTACTAGCTTAAATTTATTATTGTAGCTTATTCAATATAATAAATTTAATTAGTAATTTATTTGAGATCTCAATAAAAATATCAAAAATAAGATCATTTACATTATATGGTGAGTATAATAATAAATCTTATTAAATAATTTTAAAATTAAATATTTTAACAAATTAAAATAAATTAGATAAACAATATGATTAAAAATTAAAATATATATATTTATAAAATATATGAAATCTTTGCAATATAAAGGAGAAAATTGTTAGGAAAAATCAATTTTATTTTTATATGCTATATATAATTTTTAAGCTAAAATATGTTATAATTAGCATTAACTCATTTTTTATTTTTTCTGATAGCTTTTCACTTTCCTATTGCAAAGTTTCTATATTATAAAATTAAAATTATAATTATAATATTATAAAATCAAATTTTTTTAAACAATTTAGTTATAAATTAATATAAAAATTTACGATTTTATTAATTAAAATATATATTAGAAACATAGGTATCTATAATTAATTAATACATTAAATAACTTTAATTAAAATAAAGATTAATAAGATTTATATTTGATTTTATTTTTATTATCAAGAATTTCAATTATTTGCAATTTCACGTGACAATATATTTTTACAAAAATGTTGATCACTTTGCCACGCGATTCGATCTTCTTGATCAACTGATGTGTATTTAAGTCATGTGATTTTGAACTTTCATAGAAATTTTTCTTAACTTGTGACGTTTTCTTGTGTCGCAATTAAAGACTGTATTAATAGACAAACTAGATAGCAAGCTCCCTTACACAAAGTATACAAACTGGTTGGCTTTTCTCTCGTCAACCTTCTCAAAATCTTTTTTAAAGCTAACCGATAAAACAACGCAACACTATTACTCTTTTTTGTATAAGGTAAGTAATTTTTTTTCACTATTAAAAAAAATTTTTACATTATTAAAAACCTTAACAGTATTCTTTTTTAAATTCTTTACAAGACTCCATGCCTGCCAACAGTAATATCGTTAAAACAATTACTAACCCTAATCGATTTGGTCCACAACCAGGAGGCGGCTTGATGAATCGGTCAGGTATGACTGGTGAGCTACATAATGATATTATTTTAAACTATTTATTTATTCGCTAGAGGAAGTATGCTGATTTTTTTTTAAATAATAGCAGTAGTAAATCCAGCCCAACAAGCTAATCGACCGGGACCAATTAATTCTGCATATCCTCCAACGTCGATGCCTCAAAGAACTGCCGGAGGAAATTCGTTATTATCTAGGGTCAATGGGAGGATTGGTATTAATCGAGTTTATTTAATTTTAAATTCAACCATTCCACATTGATCTAAAAATTTTTCGAAAGATCAATATTAATAATGAACAATCAAAAAATTATTTTAATTTTGATCAATTCATTTAATTAATTATAATATTATCGAATATTAATTTAGGATCGAATGTACCGTCATGGAATTACACTCCAGGTTCTTCTTTAGCATCTCAAACCATTTCAGCAAGACATCAAAATTTTACATCATCATATCCTAACGCAATACATAGCGTACATCCTCAACCGAATGACACATTGGATATGTCCGAATTTCCTGCTTTAGGAAGTGCAAATACAGCTTCGAATAATTCATCTGCAACGGGAATGGGTTCAAGTTATGCAAATACGGCGCAAACAGGAACAAATGCTACTTCGAATGACAACAGGTCTATGCATCATCAACAACCAACGCAGGAGTTTACGATTGATGATTTTCCTGCTTTACCTGGTGCAACAAGTAATTCGGGAAATCGTGGAATTGTTGGTTCACAGTCTGGATTATCGCAACATCATTTGGTGAACCATCACCAACAAAATAGTGTGGATGGTTTAAACAATGGAAATAGTATGTCGACGGATAGTTTATCATCAGGATTCCAAGATGGTCGGATAAGCAATGGTATGTTACCCATATTTAAAATTTAAACATTAAAATATGGGGATATTAGTTAAGTTTGATTCTTAATAATTGGGATTTGTGCAGAATACGAAAATTAAGATTTTGCTCCTTTGATGTGATCCTCAGGCGGAATAAGACCACCGAGTCAACCACAAGTGAATTCCGTGTCCGAACAAGACAAAAAGGTGTGTGTGTAATTGCAACACACAAAAATATCGTACCATTTATTGTAATTTTTAATTTTACAAAATTTATTTACCGGCAAATATATATGATTTTTTATATAATGAAATTTTCAAAACAAACCTTTTTTCTATTTTCATCGAATTGAATAAAAAAAACCAAAACAAAACCAAAACAAAACAAAAATTAATTTGTAGAACTTCTCTACAAAATCCGGAGGTAGTGTACAAATAATGCAACAAATTCCTTCGTCGTCTTTGATGATGCCGTATTCATTAACAGGGCCTGCTAATCAAACAACGCCATACTCAACAACATCAACCTTAACGGGTACGCCATATCCGCCATCCATAGGTATATCCAATTTACAATCAAATGTAGGTGGTGCACCTTCGTTAAACCAATCATCGTCTTCACCGTCTGTTGCTTCCGATGAATTTGGTTTGCTCGGTTTATTAAGTGTAATAAGAATGACCGACCCTGATTTAAGCATGTTAGCGTTAGGAAGTGATCTAACAACTTTAGGATTAAATTTAAATTCTCCTGAGTATGTATAGACCTTATTATTGTTGTTTGCTTAACCCATTATAGGGACAGGAAAGTAATTAACTTGTTAACATAAAATTTATTACTTTTTTATAGTGTACTTTACGCAAAGTTTACGTCACCTTGGTCAGAAAATAATCAAATTGCCGGTTTAATTGAGCCCGAATATCATTTGCCATCATGTTATAACGTTCAGCCACCACCACCAGCTCAATCGAAAATAGGGTCATTTTCAGAAGAAACACTATTTTATATTTTCTATAGTATGCCTCGAGATATATTACAAGAGACCGCAGCTCAAGAATTGTAAGTTTAAGAAATTTTACATATGGAAAAACAAACCCTTTAATATATTAATTCTATTATATCGCTGGATTTTATTTAACAACAGATATAATCGTAATTGGCGATATCACAAGGAGTATCGGTTCTGGCTAACAAAAGAGTTAGGCACTGAACCAATCGCAAAAACCCAGAATTACGAACGTGGGAACTATATCTATTTTGACCCTAATTCATGGGAAAAAGTCAAAAAAGAGTTTTTTCTTGAGTATGATATGTTAGAAGAACGTCCCATGATCGTTAGTATGAATAGTATGAGTGGTTCTTCAGCAACCAATCTTTCCTCCTTAGCGCCTTCAGGTTTGCAACAACAGCAACAAGCAGTGGCACAACAAAATCTCGCAGCAAATTCAATGAACATGGCAAGTCTGATGGGCCTCGATAATATACCTTCAAGGGCTGGTGGTGCTGGTGTGAATAGTCTAGCAGCTGGTGCTTTGGCTGGATTGGGTGCTACTCCTGCACAATTGCAGCAATTACACCATCAATATCCAACAGGGGCAAACGCTGGCCCACATCATCCATTAGGACCAGTGTCGGGTCTTGGACAAGGCGGGCACTATATATCTCAGGGTGCACTCAAAGAATACTAATGAAAGATCGAGTCATTGTGAACGGAGGTGTTGCTTTTGCCAAGATTTACGGCAAGAGTGATGTAAGATAAATTTTTTATTGCATTTCTTTGTTCATAGTATGTACAAATATAAATTTTGTTTTTCTGTTTATATTGGTTCATATTAACTTCAATGAGTTCTTAATCATGTTTTTTTCTATATTATTAATTATTTATTATTTTTATCTCGATACTCAATCTTACTTGACACATTCGGATTTGGTCTAAATTAAAAAAAATCGTCCTTGAATGTGATTAATGTGTCAAAAAACGAATTGTTGACAATTCATCATTCTGACTTGAACATTGGATATAAACTATTTTATTTATATATACAACATCACTTCTTTTCAATTTTTAACTCAAATCAAGTTATCACTCGGCGAATTCTCTCATCCTTCACGTTCCTTTTATTATTCATTGATCTATTCTTCTTACTTATTATATTTCATTCATTTAATAGTGTACCACCTTATTTCTTTCTCCAATAATTGACCATTACAAAAAAAATTAGTGGACGTTGTGTTTTATAAGTGAACCCCAAAAAGTAGTAAATAGTCTCATTTGATTAAATAGATATATATTTGGAAAGATATTATAAATATGTTTATATGTATTTTTGTTCATTTTTATAAAAAAAAACCAAAATATGCTACTACAATTCATGTTTATGCGAACCATTTTAATCTAATTGTAATATTGCAACATTGAAATTAAAAAATTATTTTTATCATGTGAATCATATTGTGCCAGTTACCAAAAGAAAGTTCCATCAACCCCAGAAAATCCCTTTACTCTATTTGGCTATTTGGCCATCTGCATAATTTTTTTTGTAATTGACGTCACAACTAAAAATGCGCCTCAAACAGGTTTCATGAAAAGACGCGTTATATTTATATACATTTGTTTATTAAACATTTTACTCTTTTTCTTTATTCTTTTGCAGTTGTATCAATTTCGTTGACCGAAAATAAAAATAAAAATAAAACTTCTTTGCGCTGTTGTTACTTGAACAATTTTTTACTTTCTTTTATAAAGCTTCCATTTCTTTCGGAAAATGTTGACAAGGCAATACAAAACTAACTCGAAACGCAAGCGAGCTCCTGAAGAAATATTGGTCAGTAGAAATGTAAAACAGTAAGTCATTTCTTAATCTTTATTTTTTTTTTTTTACCTATAACGGAATTATAATTTCTCCTTAAATATATTACATACGTCAAAAAAAAACCCGATATTTTAATAATACGTTCGTTGTTTTTTACCTTTAAAGAAAATTTTCTTCTAGTTCTACTACTGGTAATGCTTCCGCCTCAGAAAGAAGTTTGACAAAAAATGTCGCTTTTAAAAACGTTTTAACGAAGGCTTCAGTTCCAAGAAGGCCTTTATATTCAAACAAGGTGGCAACTATTAATAATAGTGCTCTTACAACGCTGCCTATATCTTCAAAGCCTGTGCCGCCTCGATCAAGCAAATCGACCGTAAGTCAAAAAAACGCCGCTACAATGTCATATTCTGGTACAAAGATAGTTCCATATGATGCGGGAGGAAACTTTACCGGCAAGGTATCTCCTGCAAATTTAAATAAAGCTGAAATATCCAGATTGCGTTCAGAAATTGCACAGCACAAAAAAAAATTGGCCGAAATTCAGCAGGAAGCTGCTGAATGCGAAGAATACAACAAAGCTATAGAAGCTGAATTCTCGGGGTTGCATGATGAATTAGTAAAAGTAAAGCTTGATAGCGACATAATGTTGGCGGATATTGAACAATCAAAGGTAAATAAATTCTATTTAAATATGATTTATATATATATACATTTATTTATTTCTTTCGAATAACTATTACTATAGAAACAAGCCGACTCGTATGACAAAGAACTCAAGGTGCTTGACGAACAACTCAACGCGATGAATGAAGAAAACAATAGGCTCCACAAAAATGTACAGGTGCTCAATAAAGACCTAAGATACAAGTATGAAAAAATCGAAGAGAAAAAATCATTGCAAGAATCTCGCCTTAAGCAGATTCTAGAAAATTACAATGGTTTGAATTCAGAAGAAAATACCCGAAAGGAGTTGCATAACCAACTTCTAGACCTTAAGGGTAACATTAGGGTAATGTGTCGTGTCCGTCCTTGTACTGATAAAGAAAATGACGTTGTACTGGCTAAATTAAAATGTTCTGATGATAAACGCTCTATTGAAATTTCCACCGAGAGAAAGTCTCTGTGGCGTACGGTAGTTGATACATCGACATTTAAGTTCGATTGTGTTTTTGATTCAAATGCAGACCAAGATCAAGTATTCTCCGAAATCTCTCCACTTGTACAATCAGCTATCGATGGGTATAATGTTTGTATATTTGCCTACGGCCAAACTGGATCCGGTAAAACTTATACAATGGAAGGTGATGTGAACAATCTGGAAAAGAAAGGAATGATCCCTCGAGCAATTGATATTATTTTTGATAAAATTAAAGAGTTAGAAAAACTTGGATGGAACTTCGAAGCTTACGTTCAATATGTTGAAATTTATAATGAGACAATTCAGGACTTGCTTGGAGATGAGGACAAAAAAAACAAGAAGTTATACAAGGATCGCAAGAAAACATACAAGGAGAGCAAAGATTTATACAAGATAATGTACAACGACAATACCCGCATGACCATTGTAGAGAATGCTGACAGACGTATGTTTTTATTTTGTCAATTTTTGTTTTCGTAAATAAATAAACGTAAATATGTATTATGTATAAATATTACTTTCCTAATGATAATAAAATGTAGGTAAGGTCAGCCGAAAGGAAGATATGGAAAGCTTGTTACGTAAAGCTTCAAATCGTCGATCCAAGGCCTCAACTAATTCTAATTCGGTTTCATCAAGAAGTCATGGTGTATTTATATTTCACTTAGAAGGAGAATATCCAATTGGAAATGAGAGCAGCCGAGGTTCTTTAAGTCTCATTGATTTAGCAGGTTCAGAAAACATTGATAAATCAGGCTCGACTGGCAATCAGTTGAAAGAAACACAAAATATCAATAAATCCTTGAGTGACCTTAAGACAGTGATTCAACAAATTAAGGATAAAGCGAGTTATGTAAACTATCGTGACTCCATGTTGACAAATTTGTTAAAATATTCACTGGGTAAGTATAACTTTTAATTTGGATGACTTCTTTTTTCTAATGCCTTAAATATAATTTATTTTTTATGAAGGTGGTACGGCAAAAGTGTGTATGCTTGTCAATGTGTCGCCATTTGCTGATTCAGTCAGTGAAACCAAAAATAGTTTAACTTTTGGACAAACAGCAAGAAAGGCACATGTAGGAACGGCTTCGAGAAGCGGTCGTTTCTAATTTTTAAAAAGAAATCAAAATCTCCTGTTTTTTTAATTTATACCAGGAAAATTTTGTTTAAATTATATATCAAACAATATTAAAGATTTTTTTCATGTTGCTTAGATATCAAATGGAAACGCGAATTACTTGAGATAATATAAAATTAAAGTAAATAATCAGAGATGAGACTTTAATTAGAAGTTATCAATTATATTTAAAGTTACAATGTATAATATAGGCATTATACAATAGCTTTTTCACATAATTTCTTTTGTATCAAACATTTTGTTTATTTTTGGCTAAATAAGCAAACTTTGTACATATCTTTATATAAATTTGGCTTAAATTTGAGCTATTTATTAAATTCAAAAATATAATGTTACGTGAAATTAATCATTACTAACCATTAATATGATTTTATTTTTGAATTTTTTTTAATGACATTTCTACAAAATTTATCAATAATTTGGTTAATTTTAATGTTTAATAAAATCATTTAATCAGAAAATTCATTTAAATTAATTGAATAAAGAATTACAGTAAATATATCTGTTTAAACAGAAATTATTATTTTATTAGTAATTAAAATAATTAATCATAAAGATAAAATGAATCTAAATACTTTTTCTTAACATTGCATTTTAGAGTAAAAAGTTAATAGATAATAGTTTTGATTAATAATTGTTTATTTTTAAATTTTTACTTATAAAAGATAAAATTATTATTAAATATATTAAAAGATTTATATAATAATTAAAGATTACAAATAAAAAATTTGATATAATATAATAATTATATAAATAATATGATTCTACTTAGGGGAGTAACACATATCACGTCATTATAGGTTACTATTGCCTCCCCCCCTCCTGTGAGATTTATTATTCGCGTGATTAAAAGTGACCAATAATCAAGCATTATTGTATTACTATTTGAATATTATATTAAAAATAAATGCATTTATTTGTTTGAATTCATATATTATATTTCAATATTATCTAATAAAAATAAAAATTAGTAACAAAAAAATGTTTTATAACTGTTTGCATGTAACTCGTAATATTCATCGTGTTTACATAATTGCGTTTATATAATCGCATCATTAATCATTTCAATCTTTTATCCAAAACCTTCTTAACATGTAGGCTTTCTTAACTACATCCAAATATAATAAAATTTATATTTATATGCCCCTTACAAATCAGCATCAAAGATTTTGCAATGCTTTTGGATATTATCATATGGTGAATGCAAAAAACCCTATGTATTCAAAATCTAGTTTATATAATAAATGTACTAATGTGTGAAAAGAGATTTGATATAAATCATAAGAAGAAATTGAAAGTAAAATTAAAAATACCAATTCTAATGCAAGGGTTTTTGCAGATTAGTTATTCACGATTCAGCCCATCTCAAAGTTCAAAATCTGCCCAAACTGATCAAACCCCTCAAAAAATAATTGAAGAGAATATTGTAGCTGATACTGCTATGCTTTCTAATACTGTTACATAAAGAAAAGCTGCAAAAACTATCAGTGCAACTAATACAAAGCTTGCTGAACTTCAATGAACTTATAATTTTACTACTGATTTGAAGATTCAGTATAATATAATGGAACGCATGACAACTCTCAAGCAAATATTGCATAGTGAAGATATTAAGGTTAAAAATTGAAGTGTCATGCAGAATATCAACGAAAAAGCAGGGCAAAAAAACTCCAGCAAAAATATCAAGAAATAATAAAATATGATTTATTTGATCGTCTACCTCTTTTGATTCAGTATCTCGATTTACATGATATATACACGAAAGCATTGAATTCAGAGCTGCAGACAAAAAGAGAAGAAAAGAAATCATTAAAATTAGAATAATTCAACATCTTCGAGAGGCTCTCAATTCAAAATATAATGAATATTTTTCTCGCATCACTCTCAATAATTACTTATTACTATCTTGATCAAATACTACAGCAACAAAAACTCATCCCTACTCAGCTATTATTGCAAATGCATCTGTTTTACAAAATAAAAAGAATGAATATATTAATGAATATCATTGTCTTGCATCTGTAAAAGAAACAAAACAATTTGCAACCTTATTTCCAACTTATTCTATTATTATTTTCCAAGACGATAAAGCCAAAATTTCTCTTGGTATTCTCACAGTCAGAAGAACTTTTTAAATCATACAAAGTTTTTAAGAGCCAGTTACTCTACCCGATTATGATTTTCTAATTGGTATGTAGCAAAAGCTTATTTTATCAGTTTACTTGCTTATTAACCTGAACGATATGAATGACACTCTCTGTAATTGCCAACTTTCGATTTTATGCGTTCACAATATCAAGTTAATATAAGCTCAACCACTTATATAAGTGATCTAAATTTGCTAACTCAAAATAGCCATTTTGATGAAATATTAAAAGTCAATAATTAAGTCAAATCCATTTGGATTCTTTTAGTTGATGGAGATTCAGATGAAAACCCTCATCACATGAAAAACATTCTTCAATATTGTAGAATGTTCTGTATCTTCAATCTTGATTATCTTTCAGTTTAAACATATGCATCTGATCAATTTGCGTATAATCCTATTGAACGTAGTATAGCAACGCTCTCTCAAAAACTAGTCAGAATAATATTGCCAATCAATAAGTATGGTTTCCTTCTTAATTTTTAAGGTCAAGTAGTTGATTTGAAGCTTGCAATGAAGAACTTTCATTATGTTGGTGAGGCTTTGTGCTCTCTTTGGAAAGGTGATCTTATCCATGGGAAATCAGTTATCACGCAATATGCTGATCAAAGAAACCCTCTATTTAGTGATATCATATTTTTCAGATTTGAAAAAGAAAATAACAGTGAATTAGCAATACCTTGGAAATGGTTAGAAAGTCATACCAAAGTATGTCAATACTCACTTGATATTAAGAAATGTGGAAACTCTTCTTATTGCTTGCCTAAACATCACAAAGAGGCAGCTATTTTTCTTGCGAAAAATAACAGATTTCTCCTATCTGTGATAAAGGAAAAATAGGCATTTTTTGAATTCGCTTCATATATTAAAATATTGCGATAAGCTCAAAATACCTGGATATGATGTCCACTATTCTTCTATTAGTTCAAATACTTATAATAGTCTCTATTACTCTGACTGCAATGCATACTTTCTGACTCTTTTTCTCATTACTCTACATAAGAAAAACTAACATTCAAGCATCCATGAAGATGAGGATAACCAGTCAAGCAAAAAAACCACTTATTAATTCTATTGATGATTTTTCTGTATAGGACGTACAAGTTCTAATCTTAAATGATCATGAAGTACATTCAGAGGATGAGTAAAGAGGTGATTACAAGGTGGCTTTACTTTATGCTAGCATAGTAGAAAATAAAAAGATTGTTGCAAAGGTTG